AATAATAATAATAATAATAATAATAATAATAATAATAATAATAATAATAATAATAATAATAATAATAATAATAATAATAATAATAATAATAATAACAAAAACAACAGCAACAACAACAACAACAAGAAGAAGAAGAAGAAGAAGAAGAAGAACAATAAGAACAACTGAAGTGGTAGATCAATTACTGCTGTATTGGTTAACAACAAGATGAATATATCCATAGAGATAATCCCCGCCGGGAGATATACAGCGCAACTCAATACATTCTCGAATACATCCCCCGCTTCCCTTCCCTTCTCATCCCCTCCCCTCGTCTCTTCTACACCCCCCCCCCTCATACCCTTCAAGCAACAAAGAAAGATATCAAGACAAGAAAAACTAAGAGAAACTGACAAAGAAAAAAAAAACCCTCATCTCCAACCGCCAAAACATCTCCCTACCGAAATCCCCTCTATCCCCGATCACGCCGTGCTCGACGCAGCAGCGACAGCAGCAGCAGCCACACCCGTCGACGAGGCGACGTACTCGCAGGCGCTGGCCTCGTCGTAGACGGAGGCAAGTGAGATCAGCGAAGAGTAGTACGCGTAGAGGGCGGAGTCGACGGAGACAGAGGAGGAGGGGATGGCCGAGGAGGAGGTGATGGAGAGGTGCGCGGAGGAGAAGGTAGTCGTGGCTGGCGTGATGGTGGATTTGGAGGAGGAGGTGAGGGTGTGTGCTGCGCTGCCGGAGGGGGCGATGGTGTGTGTTGTGGTGGTTGGGTCGGGTTGGACGTTGGCGGAGGAGGCCGAGTGTGGGTTTGGGTTTGGGTTGGTGGTGTGGGTGGTGATGGCGCTGGAGGGGTTGGGGTTGGTGATTGTGGTTTTTGAGGTTATTGCGGTGGAGGTGGTGGGCTTGGTTGTTGAGGTTGTTGAGGTTATGGCTGTGGAGGTGGTGGGGTTGGTGGTTGTGGTTGTTGTTGGTGAGGTTAGGGCTTTGGTGCTTGTGCTGGTGCTGGTGCTGGGAGTAGGGTGGGTGGTGGTTGTGGTGGTTGAGGTGGTGGACGAGGTCGTAGTCGAAGAAGTGGTGGGCTTGCTTGTGGTTGTGGTTGAAGATGGAGCTGAAGTCGTAGTTGAAGTTGTGGTTGACGTAGTAGTGGTAGTGGTAGTGGTAGTTGTAGGGGCATGGGTAGTGGTCGTCGTCGCTTTGGTCGTGGTGGCAGCCACTTGCTTGGTGGTCGTCTTCTTGCTGGACTTCCCTCCAATCCCGAACAGGGCGGAGGCCAGCTGAACCACCAGTAGGAGCACAACGAGGAATCTCATGATGAAAGTTTCCAGAAGCTAATGAGTGACTGGAACGAGTGACTATAGGCGAGAGGCTGCTGGGTCGACCAAGAACATTGAGCGGGAGGAGCTCTTATATCTCTCCCGCTATTCTGGGAATCTTCAGCCAGTGATGCTCTCCCATCCTAGTTCATTCTCACCTCCGGCTCCAGGATCTATGGCCCCCAAGAAAAAGGAGTCGAACCGAAGCATTCAACTACTTGAGGCTCTTGATCGTACCTGCATGGGGGCTCTCGGTCCTGTCAGCACGGGAAGACATCGAATTGTCGTATATGGCTTGGCCCCCACCACTAGGAGCCAATTTTAGACTCCCAAACGCGCTTCCGTGATTATGAGGCCGAAGGATCGCCCCAATTCCGAATCAAATCAGGCGTGACTCCTCTGCGTGGCGTGATGTGGAAAGTCGTGGCTGAAACAGCATCTCACGCTTCAGCCCATGCACCAGCAGTTCTCGACTCCGGTTGCCCTGACTGCCCCAGGAACACGATAAACGTGCCCAGAAAGGGTTTCAAGCCCTCTGATTGAGAGATCCTTCTCCTGGCGCTGTCGATCTAGTCATAGCGACTCGAACAAAGGATGGAAACCGCCCCAACTCCATGACCCCGAGATGGTGATTTATCGCCTTTCAGGGGCTGTTGTGATTCATGGGCTGTGAAGAGTGATCAGCCCTGAGATACCCGAGATGCAGGTGCTATAAAGTTGTCCAAGGGACGAAGCAATTACATCCCCCGGTAGCAAGCTTGAGATCCTTTCCTCACCCATACACTCATCTGTTGTTTGCAATCAATCACGCCTTAGTCCCTCGTTTTGATTCCTCGCATCGGCAAGCAGTATCGTCAACTGCCACCACACTCATTGATCCCATCCTTCGAGCATCATCCCCACGATGCGTTCTTTCAATCAGTTTTCTACCCGCCTGCTGGCCCTAGCGCTCGCCACCCTCCTCTTCCTCCTCCAGCTCACCCACGCCCTCCCCGTAACCACCTCCGACCTCATCCCCGTCCACGCCGGGAACGCCCTCACCAGAAGGGGCTGCATCCCCAGCAAAACCAGCAAGCCCGCCAGCAACCCCCCCAAGACCAACACCTACACCTTCAGCATGGACACCCTCAACCAAGCGATCAGCAGCCAGAGCACCTACCCGCTGGACAGCAACACCTGCCTCTTCTACCTCGGGCTCGGCGGCGCCACGGGCCAGACCCTGGCGCAGGACTGGTGGACGCAGAACAAGCCCGCCAGCGCGGCCAGCCAGATGAGCATCGTCTGGGGCAACGTGCTGGAGCAGTACTACCACAGCGCGATGCTGTCGGCCAACCTGGTCGAGACGCTGCCGGACCCGGCCAACCCGGCCCAGCAGATCAACGCCCAGACGGTCTGGGCGTCCCTGCTGTCCCAGGCGATGGGCGAGAGCTGTACCGGCACCGTCTACTTCTTCACGCCCGAGGCCAACGACGGCACCAACCCCGTGACCAACGTGTGGAATGTGTACGAGTATCCCGCTCTGACCCGGAACTCCAAGGTGCAGCAGATCATCAAGGTCGACCCCAATACCAACAAGCAGGAGGTGATGTGGACCAAGGGCGATGCGGTGTACGGGCCCGTGCCGCCGGGCACGGGGTACTCCCAGGTGAAGACTTTGGCTAAGGCGGAGTATCCTACTCTGAGGTAGGTTTCTGGTCTTAGCGTTGGAAAAGAATGAGACTAGGGGGTTGGGGGAAGCTGTATACAGGATTAAGGAGCAGAAGAAAGCTTTTATGAGATTCTCTAGATATCGTAATTATCATGTATTTATAGTTGGCAACGGAAGAAACGTTCGGAAGCAGCATACCCTGTATTTGTTTGGTCGTCCATGCTTCAACCTTGTTTCGTATGTATAGACCGATCCAAGGATGCTGGACTAGCACTTCTCGCACTGCAAATCAACAGTCTCGACAGTTGGCAGCACGAAGTCTTGGAGATTAAGGCCTAGAGCCTGAGAATACCGGAAGTGCAGCCTCAAAGTTCTCAACTGGGCCAACCGCGGCAGCAACTTCGTCAACTCGACGGCCACCTCATCGGTCACCTGGCCGTCGCTCCAGATCTCCAGTTTCAGCAAGGTATCCGCATGCGTATGCAGTAGCGCACGGATCATTGCCGCCGTCAGGAAGTGGGACTCGAAGTGTTGATCGTGCAAGCTCGTGATCGCGAACCCCTGCAGCGGATGCATCTCCCGCACCACCTCCGGCGTCACGGCGACAAGCGGAGCCAGGCGGGACGCATCCTTGTCGACCACGCGGGCCAGCAGCGTGTTCATTTCGTTCAGCAGCGTCAAGCTTTGAAGGTGTCTGAGGTCCCGGAATATAGCGATGGTGTCTGTTGCCTTGTCATCGTCGTTGTTGTTGTTGTCCGCGGCCGCGGCGTACCCTGAGATTGTCAGATGATGCAGCTCAGCAGCGAACCAACGCAGAACATCCAAGGAAACGAAGTCGATGTCCAGCTCCAGTTTCTGGATCTGCGGCATGCGGGTCCCCAGAGTGGTCAGGAGCAGACGCTGGTCGGCGAGGAACGGGGGGGAGCTGGGGCGCGCGATGTTCTGCATGACGAAGATCCCAAAGTCGCGGACCCCACTCAGCGCGGCCAGTGCTTCTGCGACCACGGACGCGGGTAGAGGACCCACGGGGGCGGGTGAGCGGGTTGGGGCCGTCGAGACGATGCTTCGGTACATCTCTTGCCACAATGTGGATGGCTTCGGCGCCGGCGCGGCGAACAACGCGCTGCCCACGATGCAATTGACGTGGATCGACCGGACCAGAGGTAGCAGATGCGCCGGGCTCTGCTGGAGCCATGTTACGAGATGGTCTAGCCTCTCGAAGAAGCGTCTCTTGCGCAGCACGACGGAGAGTGCTTCCGCCCGCACTTGGCGGCAGACGCGGAGAAGGCTGTGCGGGGGCACGGCGCGGTTCAACGACAGGGCATAGATCTGCAATCTCAGTTCTACCGGAAGACGGAAAAATGCGGGGTGTATCTCGGTCGATGCGCCCATGATGATAGGGAGAGAGAGTCTAGAGTTGAATAGTACTGGTGAGCAAAGAGGTTGAGTAAAGCAAATTGACGAAGTTCAAAGGAGAAGAGAGAAGGTGAAGGTGAGATTTGGTGGGGGCGGAAACCACTTTAGTCCTTCCAATATGACATGACTGTAAAGCATTCACCAAACAACGTAATCTTGCTGCTTGGGGGAATTCTATGTGACAGTGATCATACCTCAGTCCGATGGTAGCAAGCAGAAAATATTCTAGGTCCAGGAGCACCTGACTATCCACTGCCCAGGACATACATATATGGTACGCCTCTCTCAAAACACTACGGTACTTTAACCCCATGCTCACCAGCCTTTACTCATCTGGTGCATGGTGCAGAAACCTCAACAACCACACCCACAACTCGGACAATTCCTCCCACACGCATACATCGTCCCCGTGCCACAATTCTGATACCGATTGCAGGCATACCACGCCCCGGCCCCACCGCCCTTGGCCGTCCAGCACCACTCGCCATTGCTACCGCAGACCTTCCAGCAGTATCCCTTCGAGCACCCGTACGGCGCATCCCTGTAGCAGGCCTGTGGCTCGGAAGTGTTGAGGTGCTTAGGTTCTGAGCGTGCTCCCCCTGAAGCCGTATTGCCCGTCAAGGCCTGGACATCCACCGGGTCTAGCGGTGCCAGCGATGCACTCTCAAGGTACCTGTTGCGGCCGAGTGGATGCTCTCTGCATTTGCGGACGTCGCTGGGAAGGACGCCTTCGGGGAGATCCGCTGCAGGAATGACCATGACGCCTAGATCGCCGCATTCGATGGCGGAGTCATTGTTCCCTGTCGAGGTTGGGGAGATGGTTAGGGCGGAGGTGAGAACCACTAGTATGCTGAGCAAGGCAGCTGAGAGTTTCATGGTGCAGCGAGGTCTTTGAGGGCGCAGATGCCAATGGAGCTTGATAAAGTATTATTTGGGGTACGCAAGAGCAATGACAGTAGAAGTGTCTTTGGGCTAAATAATGGAACTGAGAATATTTTAGGCTAAATCACTGCTCATGCCTATCAAATTCGCTCCTTTATGGGAAATTGCACTCGATTTTATACCTCATCTTGCATGAGGGGCAGTGTGAGCTTTAACCGTAAGGGGCTTCTAGTTACATTCATCCCAACCATGTCGTAGATTTGTCGAGAGCACAGCATTGATATAGAACCGTGGCAGCAAGATGTTATCGAATTCACCTGCCCACCTCTTGCAGGTGAATTGGTTACAGAATTGTTTCAAACAAGGGCTAGGAGTCGCTCACGTGATGGAGAACACCCTCCCCTTGGACCAACTCGATGGCTGTGGGCTTACCAGAAGTGGCAAGTGCTGATATGACTTGCAGTGAATCATATCCATGTCCATTACAAGCTTCACTGTGTGAGCCAAGGCATGCTTAATTGGTAGTACAGACCAGGTAACTTACCTTACTGCCAGTCACTGTTCGGGGATGGCAGCCATAGGTTGAGCGGGATGGACCCTTGTCTGACTATTTCATCCCCAGGCAGGGACATATGTCCGCACACTTTCACTATGCCAACTTCTTCATGTAGTACACGTAGCACTTATCCATGGATAGCAGCCAGGGGGACGGGGTTTTTCTCGGCGTATCCATGATCCGACCACGTCTGTCTCCCTGACACTGCGATCTCCTACTCTCCATCTTCGATTGCATGAAAAGGTGATGTCATCCACACAACTACACGCAATTACTACGGACTCACAAACTTGTTTCGCCCTCGCTTTTGGTCCCACTGCGTCTGCTAAGCATCTACTACCCTTGCTTCTACTTCTACCCACAGAGCACACCTCTGATCCAACCACCTCGTCTGGGCCCTCACTCTCCACCCATTTACTCGACCAGTCCTTTTACCCCACCGCTCACCTCCTCCTTCGCTAACTGCCGCCTTTCACTTTTCGAACGAGAGACACGTACGCATTGGGGGTCTCAGGGTCCTCGGCGGGGGCTTTAGATCTTTCCTTCAATGTAGCCTGTGCAGATATATCTCGAGAAACTCAGAGAGGGTCAGTGTAGTCATGGCCACCCGGCGAGATTAGAGATTTGTGTATTGGAAAAGATACAAGGCGTGGCAGGCATAGTACTTTGTGGCTCCTATCACATTTGATTCGTTTCTGGTGGTTGGAGGGGTATGGTCATGAACACTCGCTAGAGAACAAGCGATATGCATCACGCCAACCCGCGAAAGCACCTCTATCCCTCCCAAGTGAATTCCAAGACTGCCAAACCAGATCCCACCGGGCGATGCACCGCCGGCCAACCGAACCGCGCATCCGCCGCCCCGAACAGCGCCGTCCAATCCTCCAGCGTGCGTTCCTTGGCATTCTGAAACGCCATCATATACATGTCGTAATCCCTGTTTATCCGACCTCTGTTGTCAGCTTCGACCCTGCAATCCAGATAGCTGAAAACACAGAGGCAAACAAAGAAGAAAACCGACCTCGCCTCTCTCTCAACCAAATAATGCACCTCATGCCGTCCCGGCACCACCCGATCATTCACCACCACCTTCGCCCCTGGCTGGAGGGCGGGGATCAACGCGCGGAGGATCTGAAGGGCGTACTTATCGGACCAGTCGTGGAGGACCAACCGGAGAAGGTATACGTCGGCGCCCTTGACCGGCTGTTCGTGGAAGAAATCGTGGGCCTGAAATTCGATCCGGGGCTCTACTGTCCTGCTGGCGTCGGTTGCTGGCTGCGCTTGAGCTGTCGATATGGCTTGGGACACTACTTGCGCCGCATCCTGGACGATACATTGCACGGAGCGGCGACGGGGCCGGCGGGCGGAATATTCTCCTTGATTGTTGTCGTGCTCGTGCTGACTCGGACATGACTGCTGAGTCCCATGGTCGTGTCCCTCCGCTTCGGACAACCTCAGGTGGTGCGCCAGCAACGCCTGCGAGATGTGGCCTAGGCCACCTCCCATGTCCACGATAGTGAAAGGCTTGCTGTGAGGGCTGGTGGGATCACAGGCGTCGTCGGGGCTACCTACCGCTGATTGCTCACGGGCAGGGTCCAGCAGCGTGCTGGTGCTTTGCCACGGGAAGGCCTCGGCGAGGTACCGGGGCGAGAATCCTGGTTCCCGGGCATGCCAGCTCATGGCCCGTGCGAAGAGGCTTGCGCGGTCGGGCATCCCGGCCAGGGCTCGGAAGATGGGCTCGGAGGTTTGGTTCTGGATATTCCATCCCTGTATTTTTTTCGGTGCGCAGGGTTGGGCAATGGAGTCAGCAGACTGGTAACCAGCCTGGGGTGCGGTGATCAAGGGGCCAAGAGGGGACTTGCGTACACAATGTTTAGGCTCTTCGGAGCTTGGATACCGGAGGATGGCATTCGCAATCTTGAACCCAATGAGCTTCATTCCTTTGATCTCCAGGCCCAGTGTAGAACGCTCACCTGCATGGTAGCCGGCAACAGCTCCTCGCACCCGAGACGAATCCAATCCCGCATGCCTGGATTCTCGGCCAGGAGCCGCGATGCCGCCGTATGCACAAACCGGTCCGGCTCGGACTCATAGTACACATGGTAAGTGGCACTATGCGCGAGCAGACGCCGGACCAGATCCTCGCGGAGACGGAGCTTCTGCGCCAAGGCCGTCACAGTGGTGCCTTCGGGTGGGAAGGATTCTGCAATGCCCAGACGAACGATGGCGTGGCCGCTGAGAGACGGGTTTTGCTGTTTTATATGTCGTTATTTCCCTGTTTCCGTACAAGTTTATGAAATGGATATGTGCCCTGGAATAAGAGTTTGAACCAACTCCTTCTGTGTCCATATATGTATTTGTGTGTATGTGTGTGTGTTGTTGGGGCTTAGAAACCTACCATTTCTGGAGTAAGCAGAAGAGCAGGTTCCGTGAGTACCGCACGCAACTCGTCAACTTGCTGGAGAAGCCTTAGACGAAGGGCGGCTGCGGCTGTTGAGCCTCCGGCACACGCGTTGGTCTGCAAAGAGGGGGGGAGGCCATGCTCGAAGGAGGGCTCTGGGTCTCCGACTTGGCGAAGCTTGTCCACCAGGTCGGTGGTTGTCTGAGCAATGGTTGAGACGCGCTCCTGGAGGGTTAGAGGGTCCATGGTGCTCGAGAGCTGTAAGACGAGGGTGGGTGTGGGATTGAGGCAACGAGAATATTTATTCGATAATGATTACACACAGAGATGACAGATCGGACCTGTCGCACTTGAGTCGTCGAGAGCTCATATACGTACTGGACTGCTGTATTCAGCTCTCCGAACAAACTGTGGGTGGATGGGGATCGATGGCCAGCCAAATCATTACTACCTTGACTCGATGTCCCCACATAAACTGATTAGCTGATTTGAAACGCAAGGCAGACTCCGGGAAGCCCTGCCGATGGGTTTTCAAGCAATCAAACGCGGTATCTGCGTCAAAAGTCAACAGTGTCTGCGATAACAATAGGGGGAGGGGCGGAAGAGGCGACGTTGCATAGATCCATAATTGAGGCTATGAGAAGCAAACATTGGGAGGGCTGCCCCGATTTATGACAGGGCAATCATGTCAGCTGTCAATTCACCATGCATAGTTTGCATGCAAGCCAAATCACTGTCTCACGCATCTCGAATGTTGATTCAATGGCGAGGGTTGCAGTACAGCCTTGGCTTCCGAGTAAGCCCTAAAGGCTAAGTTGACGGGCGCTGTGGAGATAGTCTGATACTTGTAATGTATGCATACTGAGTTTAACGGAATCGTCACCTTTGTTGCTAGTCACGAAGTTATACTTTACTGGACGTAGACATCCGCCAAAAAGAAATGAAAAAAAAAAATGAAAAAAGAAAGGGCCAGGTGTGGTCGGATCTCATCATCATTCATACTCATTTGCGTTCCGAGAGGAATCCTCACTTGAACCCTTCCGACACCGAGGAGCCGTTCCCTTCACCGGTGCTGTTCCATCTTCCTGGCTTCTGCGCATTAGTCACCAGCTCTACAGTAGTGATATCACTGTATGGTCCCGGGACTTTGGGCTTCCTGGAATAGCCATACATGTTGCTCGGAGATGTTGATAGGCCACTGCGGCGTAGTGCTCGCGAGCATGCCCGAATGATGGGGGGCGCAGCGGGCAGACATGCGGCGGTCAGCACAAATTCATTCTCAACTCTGTTCCACAGGGCGATCCGGAGGGCTCGATCTGATGTATCATCAGCTTTGACAAAAGCATATCTTGTAAAACAGCAACCGGATCACTTACCGAGTTCGACGATCGGATCGCTCACACCGAAGAGAGTGGTGTTTGAATAGAGTTTGATGAAGGCAAAAATGCACGACCTGATTCCTACTCAGTTCCACTTGCTTAAACCTAATGTCACGGAAGAAAAAAGGCGGGAAAGCAACTCACGCAATGCCAATGCTCATGAGTCCCATTGCACTAACGCGCTTCCAGGTCGGCATCTGCAGGTTCCAGATGATGAAGCCAGGCCAGACGGAGAACAGGATGTCTGTCAACGCAGACAGGGCTAATGAATTGGGGAACAGAAACAGATCATCAGCCCACAGTGCTACGGTATCACACCGAATTAAAGGACTGGAACTCAAACATACAGCTCACGGCGCAGGCGTAGTCCAACTGGACTCTTTGATCCCAGCATTTCACATGTGGGTATTTCCATGGGTTGAATTGTCCGGCGACTGGACTGCATTGCACAAAGCATAAGATGAACCCCACTGTCGCAAGCACATTCAGTACAATGCAGAAGCTGATGACGGAGGTTTGAAGCCACCGGGGCGGCCGCAGGATACGACAGGTGAGAAAGGCAATGCCCAGCTTGGGGATGCCAATGCTGAAAAACGCCCAGGAATCCACAAATACGGCCCAGAAAGATGCGGCTGGGACAGACTCGGGCAGGTTCGTCAGCTCAACGACCTGATACGCATCGACACTTTTCTGCATTGCGGCAGCACGGATGATATTCAACCCCTGATAATGGCATGAGTACAAGCGTAAGTAAAAGCACGTGTTGTAGTGCGGGCAAGACACACCCAAGATAGCGTAATGATCAAATCTTCCCAAGCCAAGCCATATTTGTTGAAGCACAGTCGCGAAGATGTCCGCATCGCAAAAATGAGAGTGGACAGGGCGGTGAAAGGCCATGTTATAGCAGAGGCCTGTCGTGCAAATTGATGAAGTTCGTTGGTGGTGACCATAATTCTCGGCTAATCTGGTCCTCTCCTAGGCTTGAGCTGGGTGTAAGTTACTTTCAGTTTCCACCAGGGCGGTTGAAGAGGCTACTAGGTAGATATACGCTGCATTTGAAAACGTACGTGGGAAGCACCACCTCCTCCCCCCATTGACTTTTGATGTCACAACAGGCGTCGGACCCCAAACAACCGCTCCAGGTTGGTTCTCCACCTGCGATCCCCACCAGCTCGCAAGCACCTGGTAAATCAAGTTTGCCATGGTCCACCGACGGGACATGGAGGGCTGTGTAAATGATAGAGAAGATGCTTGTTTGCTTTACCCGCAGGCACTGCTGCATTAGTGGCTCCGCCTCGGTCTATTCTCCAATTCAGACCCAATTTCAAACACCATCCCAGTTCATTAACCTAGAAAAGAAGTCGATGTTAGTGTAGCTGCCTGAGGGTGATGCATCTGCTCATCCCCAACCCATCCCTGGTTGCAGCCTCATCAACTATTAGTAGTCCAGAAGTGTTGGAGCACACGTACCGTCAAAGATCTACACTGGCAAAATTCATCATTGGCCCCATATCTAAGCCTCATACCATCCCGCTGGTAACTAGACTATGGCTAGGCAGACTGTAGAGGTACTGTCTGAAAATTAAGGACTATAAAAGGCTTCTGTCGACAACGATGGGGCCTTCCTCTTTTGTGCAATCAAACTGCCACCTGAAAGACAGAAAACCCACACTTGATTCCGCACAATCCCTAGCAGCCTCTTCACAAGCATCATGATTCTTTCGAATCCGGAGCCCCACATCGCTCAGCTGCTTGACCATGCCGCGGCTACAGATGCTGGCATCTTTGCCTACGCTCAGGAAAGGACTGAAGAGCCTTCGTACTTGAGCTACAGCCAGTTGCGCCTGTTAGCAGCACAGAAGGCGGACCTTTTGCGCAACGATGGATCTCAAAGCTCGGCAAAGATCGTTCTCATCCATTTTGCAACTCAATTCGAGAACATCGTTTGGTTCTGGGCCTCCATCCTTGCTGGCAGAGTGCCATGTCTGTCGCAAGCCCTCGGACATAGCCCTGAGGATCGGGCTGCTCATTTCGAGCACCTCCACCGTCTGCTGCTTGATCCCCTCGTGATCACCAGCCAGACGCTCCTGAATCGTGACTTTGCCGCTAGTTCAGTACTCCGCACAGTTGCTGTCGAACAACTCGAAGCCGGCATGTACGTACCTGGTAGTCACTCTATCGAGCCACTTCCTTCAACAGAAGGAATAGATTTGATGATGTTGACATCCGGAAGTACTGGCCGGGCCAAAGCTGTTTCCCTCAGCCACCGACAGATATTCGCGGCTGTGCAAGGGAAATTGGCCATCATGCCTCTGCCCAAAAGCTCGGCGCTGCTGAATTGGATCGCCCTCGATCATGTGGCTGGTCTAGTTGAAATTCACCTCTGTGCTCTCAGAGCCGGTCTTGATCAGGTCCATGTCCCCGCCACGGAGGTACTTACTGATCCGCTGCTGTTCCTGCGCTTGATAGCCAAGCATGGCGTCTCGCGCACATTCGCTCCGAATTTCTTCCTTCAGAAGCTCTCCACTGCTTTGGACGCGGTAGCTGCTTCTATGATTGATGTGGTCGATCTCAGTCAGCTTCGGTACATTGCATCGGGCGGCGAACCTAACCTCGTCGATGTCTGCGTTCGATTGACCAAGCAACTCACCCAGCTGGGCACTGGCACGAGCCCGATTGTTCCGGGATTTGGCATGACTGAGACATGTGCTGGGGCAATTTTCAATTTTTCATGTCCCCAAATTGACATTAGCGCTGGAACTGAGTTCGCATCTCTTGGGGCCTGCATGCCTGGGATCGAAATGCGCATCAGTTCCGTGACTGGCAATGATGTGAATGTGAACAAGCAGGCTTCTGGCTGGCTTGAGGTTCGTGGGGAGGTTATCTTCGAAGGGTATTTCAACGATGAGACTGCTACTCGGACAGCATTCACTGCTGACGGCTGGTTTCGTACGGGCGACATAGCCTCGCTTGACTGCCACGGTCGTCTCTATCTTACTGGTCGCTCAAATGATGTGATCAACATCAACGGTATCAAGCATGACCCTTGTACGGTGGAGGCAGCCCTAAACCAAGCGGCGATCCCCGGGATAGTCGCCTTCTCTGTCGCTTGCTTTACGTACCGCCCATCTAACGCCGACTCTGGAGGAGTAATGGTGATCTACGAGCACACGTATCCCACAGATGATATTGAGGCTCGTCTGAGTACCTTGACATCTATTTCGCATATCGTATCACCGATAGTGGGATCGCGACCGCACGTACTCCCATTGGCGCCTGGCCAGCTTGTCAAGACGACCTTGGGCAAGCTGTCGCGTACCAAAATTCGCCGGGCACTCGAACAAGGCCAATACCACACCCAACAAGAGACCAACAATGAACTTATCCGATCCTACCAGAGTATCAACGCTAGTCCGCCCCAGAATGAGGCGGAGGAGGCACTAATGGGATTACTTCACGAGCTCTTCTTTGACCTGCCGGAAATAACTGCTGATCACGCCATCCTCAACATGGGTATCAGCTCCGTCGATCTGATCAGGCTCAAGCGTGCGATTGAACGCCGCTTTCAGATAGCAGAAGTCCCCATGGTCATGCTGCTGACCAGCAACACAATACAGTCACTATCGTCCGCAATTCGAGCTTTGCGCCACAACTCCTGCAAAGCCTCCTGCGAGACATATCAGCCTATAGTCACTTTGCAGCCGCAAGGGTCAAAAGTGCCGCTCTGGCTATTTCACCCGGGCATAGGCGAGATTTTAGTCTTCCTCGGGTTGGTCCAGTACTTCCCCGACCGGCCGATCTATGCAATGCGAGCACGGGGATTCAGCCCGGACGAGGAGCCATTCGCGCACTTATCCGACGTATTGAGCACCTACTATCGGGCGTTGAAGGCGCAGCAGCCCGATGGACCCTACGCTCTTGCAGGCTACTCCTACGACAGCATGATCGCGTTTGAATTGAGCAAACTGCTCGAAGCAAACGGGGACCAGGTCCGGTTTCTGGGGTGCTTCAACCTGCCACCCCACATCCAAGACCGGATGCGGACCCTAGATTGGACGGCCGGGGTGCTGCATATCGCCCACTTCTGTGGCGTCTTGACCGAGCAGCAGTCTGAGGCTATGGCGGATGATCTGCGCGCGCTGACCCCAGCCGAACAGGTCTCTCGGGTGCTCGCGGAAGGATGCACTCAACGATGCGAGGAGCTAGCTCTAACCCAGGAGTCGCTACTCACCTGGACAAATGTAGCATGGTCACTGCAGAAGATTGGCTGGGAGTACTCTCCGACCGGCAGCGTGACAAGTATGGATGTGTTCTACTGCCAGCCGCTGAAGGTGGTAGCGCGGACACGCGAGGAGTATCGCAACACGAAGCTCAATCATTGGGTCAATTTTGTGAGAGAGGATGTTCGCTACCACGAGGTCGACGGTGAGCATTACACGATGATAGGGCCAGAGCACGTAGCGCGCTTCCAACTCACGTTGAAAAAGGCATTGGTTGCGCGGGGTTTGTAGGGTTGCCTCCTCCTGCACGCAGGTGGAGAAACAGAAGATCATTTCCAACAGCACTAGTGCAGTTACAGTACCTGTCCAACGCTTATCATTATCATCTGTTTGCTTCTTGTTTGCTTGCTGTGCCACTATGTCGAGGAGCTTTGCAGTAGCTCCAATTTGACTTGGTTCAGAACCTGGTTCTAGTCTGTACTGGGCAAAAGCAAGTTCAGGAGACAAAGAAAATGGAAATAGAAAGAAGTTTAGAAAAAGGTGAGGACATGTCCGCGGCAATCTTGTCCCTTTCCTTGAGCCTCCCTCTTCTCGACCCTCTCCCCACGAAGCCTATTTTTCACCCATTTCCAAGCACTTTTCTCCCACCCTCCCTGATTACTATCAATCTTCCTCGGCAACACTCATCAACCATCCTACAGAACCCATCATGACACTGCGGAGCCTCTCTACACTCCAGCTCTTCCAGCTGGCTACCGTCGGGCTCATAATCTATGAGGCTAGCTGGATCATATACTGTCGATTCTTTCATCCTCTACGCTCGATTCCCAGGCCTTTCTTAGCCTCAGTTAGCCGGATATGGATCGTCTATCATACTGCCACAGGGCGGATGGAGCACACTCAACGTGCCCTTCACAAGAGATACGGTGACTTTCCTTGCTGTCCACCGGATATGTCATCGACAAGTATCTGACTCTCGATTCTAGGCTACATGGTTCGGATAGCACCCGACGAGGTGGCCTGCTCCGATCCACAGGCTATCAAGGTCATATATAGCACGAAACGAGACTATGCCAAGGTTAGAGCACAACAAAGCCAACATCCAGACTCCATCGTCTCGTGAACTAAGCTTATGGGGGTGGTGTGTTACTGTACACCATGCAGAGCGAGTTCTACGACATCCGGGCGGCGCCGAATGAAGTCAGATACGCGGGCCATTTCGCCACCCGCGATGAGAAAGTCCACTCCGAGCGGCGGCGGATCGTCAATCAAGCCTACTCGATGAGCAGCATTCTGGAATCCGAGCCAGAAATCGATGACTGCACGCGAGTCTTCATCGAGGCCACGCGGACGTTTGCCCAGCAGAAGACTGTGGTCGATCTGGGCCCATGGCTGACCAAGTGCGTATCCCTCCCTCCTGGCGTTGTTCCGCAGTGAGAGAGAGAGAACCTACTCATGTAAGAGTTTAGGTATGCCTTCGATGTGCTTGGAGAGCTTTTTTATGGTCGCATGTTTGGGATGATGCGGGAGAATCGTGACCTCCACGACATCGGGCGGGCGGTCGACGCGATGCTCCCGGCCTTTGCTGTCGGCGGCACCCTCCCCTCGTACCTCCAGCAAGCATTTCTCATCTCAACCTATCTCCTGTCGAATTCTCTCCGCGATGCGGTGACCGCCTCAAAGATGGTGGAGACCGTCTCGATCCAAGCGGTGGAGCAACGGATTCGCGAGCTCAAGGACAAGGACAACCAGTTAAACCGCAAACATGACATGCTCCGCAAGATGCTGGAGATCAGCGACGGGCCCCGCGGCCCAGCCCTCAACTTCACCCATAAGCATATCCATGTTGAATCGCACATTTCTCTGTATAGTGCCCTGATCTCCCCTTCTTGTCCTCTCTCCCAAACTATTGATTTCTGTTTTCGGTCCCCCCGTGCAAAGCTGTGGAAATCTTTTACCCCCCGCTTCGTACCTAATCTCTTCTCTTACATTTTGCAATTCAGATTCGCCAGGGCCGACACCACCTCCATCGCCATGCTCAGTACCCTATACTACCTCATGCGGGACCCGCGCGTCTACGCCAAGCTACAGCAAGAGATCGACTCCGCCTTTGCCTCCGGCAGGATATCCGACCCCGTCTCTTACCAAGAGGCCACCACCCAGCTCCCTTACTTCCGGGCGTGCGTCGAGGAAGCGATGCGCCTGCACCCGGGCGTGGGGCTCACCGCGCCTCGGATTGTGCCGCGCGGCGGGGTGACCCTTGCCTCCGACGTCTATATCCCCGCGGGCTACCGCGTGGGCGTCAACGCTGCCGTGGTGCAGTACGACCGCGACGTGTTCGGGCCGGACGCGGACCAGTACAACCCGGACCGCTGGCTGGATCGAGACCCGGTGCCGATGGAGCGGGCGATGTTTGTTTTCGGGCATGGCGCGAGGACATGCATTGGGAAGAATGTGAGTGTTGGGCTCGCTTTTCTTTTCTTTTTTTTTTTTTTTTTTGCCTGTTTTGTGGAGTTTTATGGGAATTGAAGGGAAGCCGGAGCCGGGCTAACTGTAGATTGCAGATTGCTCTTTGCGAGATCTATAAGTTGCTACCGGTACTTCTGTGGAAGTTTCAAGTACGTCTGGTCGAGTCGGAAAAGGAGTGGACGACGAAGAATTTCTGGTTTAATAAGCCGGTAGGAGTCAAGGTTCTTTTTGAAGAGAGGAGGGGTCTTTCCTCCTTGCCTTGATGCCTACGCAGAGCTTGGGACCTTGAAATGCGCACGAGGGAGTGGAAGGCTTTTTTCTATCTCTTCACTCAGAGCAGATAATATCCCTGAGTCGACCAGGGCATATGCAGACGGTGACGATAGTCCTTTTGAGCAATGAAGCTGGGGGGGGGGGGGAGGCTGAGGGGCTGGCTGCAGCTCCGAGAACGCTTAATGTTTGGTTAAATGGATGCAGCGCAAAACCCAAGTAACTCAACATATCCTGCCATAGCAGCACCCCTGTCCCGATCCTAAAACACCCCATCGCGAACCGCGCCTCCCCCCCTCCCGGGGGCCCAGCCAACCGGCGCGCAAGCTCACGCAGCAGCCGCGTAGCGTACCCCCATCCCATCCCTTGCCCCGGAACGCAGAGCGCGAGTAGAGGCTCGCGATGCGATGCCGTAGCCTAGGGAGGATTTCGTGGAGGTTACTGACCCAGTAGCGGTGCGGGGCGACGAGGGGCGCGGCGGGGGTGGGGGTGGGGGTGGGATACAGGTGGGCCGGGGGCAAGGGTCTTAATAGTACGGAGTACTGGGCCTACGTTGTCACTTCCGTGCCGCCTCCACTGGCTAGTTGTGCGTGGCGCGGAGTAACTAGTGTATACTATGGATCCTTAGTCTGTTATCGAAGCAGCGTGCGACTAGTGAACTGTGCTGCACTTAGTTTTACGAGGAGAATGGCGATCGGGTGTAGATGTAAGCCTGTGATGTAGTCGTGTGGCATTTCGGAGTGTGTCTATGGATCGCGGTGTGCTAGCTAAGCAGCCCACTGGACTTGAGATTAAGTAGGAGGATTGATCGATCGCTGAGGACAACGGTCCGTAAGCAGAAATAGCTAGACAAGTCACAAGATGTGACTAAGAGGATGAATATGGGCCGATCACCCCCGAACTTTCCGATAACTGGGCGGACTCCAGGACCGCATGATCAGTTTCCCGGCCCAGACAGGCACGACCGCCACGGCGACAACAGCGACGACGCGCCAGAGCCAATCCAGGGTGATGATGTACGCGAGATCGAAGTAGTCGCCCAGGAAGGGGACGCTCGCGGCGTAGACCAGGGCGGTGCCGATGATCGAGAAAATCATGAAAGGGTGACACGTGGTGATGGCGATGGCAACCATCAGAAGTTCGTTGATGACCAGCGCGGTGAACGAGACGCTGATGAGGCGAGGGCCCGTGATCGTGTCGAGGAGGATCTGGGACAAGCCCTGAATCACCGCCCCTTGAAAGACGGATACAAAGACCCAGGTAAAGAAGGAGCGGTAGCTGAGGCTGCGCCCCGTTTTGAGTTCTTTATATAATTCCGGGTAGAGGTTGGCCAGTTCTTCGTCGACATCCCGGTCGAAGACGAGTGAGAAAACTGGCCCGCTGGTGTAGATCGTCGCATACCCCACCATGAGCCAGTTGATAAAGAGACCCTTGGGATCGAAATGGCTGGCGATGCTATACATGGTCTGGCAGGCGCTGATGATGATACCACGGTGCATGATGAACTGCGCCAGCTTGGCGGATCGTTTATATGAGTTGCGCCCGTGCCAGACCAGAAGCTTAGTGAGGTGGTGGAACTGCGTGATGCTGAAATCCGCAGCAAGAGAGGCCTGTCGGCCTTCTTTGCCCACGATACCAATACCCACATCCGCAGCTTGGATCATGGAGACATCGTTACCGCCGTCACCAATGCAGCAGACACGCTTCTTGGTGTGGTGGCGGATGAGGTCGGCGACTTCGGCCTTCTGAGTCGGAGAGCAGCGGCAAGCAATAACGGCGGGAAGGAGCACGGCGACAGAAATGAAGGATGAGCGGAACTGACTCAGCATGAGAGCAAGGGACTCGCCGTCAATGAGGAGGCAACAGTCGGTCTTGTTGCGCAGGAAATCCAGGGCTTCTTGAGCCGTAGACTTATCTTTGACCTTGGCGACAGTGTGGATATACTGTCCACGAGCGACTAATTTGGCGGAAATCGCGACGCAGCGTGCGGTTTCGACCTTGTCTCCTGTCAACATCCAGATCTTCACTCCAGCGTTGCGGAGAAGCTCCAAGGAGGGCTTGACGTCCCTCTGGAGACGGTCCTCCACACCAGTCACCCCGAGAAGCTCTAGATCCCGTTCCAGGTATTCGCCAATCACCTTGGCCATACCTGCATCTCTCCCTTGTAGGGCGAGCGACGCTTGTCTGTACTTTGTAGTGAACTCTGCGTACTGTTGCTCGGACAATCGCCTCCTTCCCACCACCAGAGTCCGCAGGCCCTCACGAGCCATATTGGCGGTTTCTTCATCAAGCCAATCGTTAGCAGCGACAATCGTGGTCATGACGGTGTCTGCACCCTTCTGATAAAACCAGATCTCGTTTTCGTTCTTGGATGAGTCCAAAATGCTTTCATCGGTCTCGAATTGGACGATGATCCCCATCCGCTTGCTTTCGGACGTAAACGGAAACAATTCGAGGATCCGAGCACGCACAACAACGTTGCCGGTGTGAGTAGACTCGAGAACCATAGTCTGTCGATCGCGGTAGGCCAGTTTCAGACCTACATCCTCCGT